CAAGCGGTAAAACGCTCCCCCCTGCTCAACATACCACGTGACAAAATAATCCACAAATTGTGGATTATTTTCACAGCCTTTGCCAGGGTTCTCTTCAGCCCTCGGCCACAGAAAGAGAACCCTGGGTACGAGGTTGGTAAATAGCCGGGGGGAATTAGTACCCTCGCACGGCGCTTCGCGCCGTCGGCTCGGGGAAAATGAACAGCGCGTCAGAGAATACACGGGCAGCTTAACGGCGGTTTTTCTCTTATTAAACATTTTGCTCTAGTCGTTTTCAGATCTCAGTTTTTCTTTCGCTCCTTAAAAAACTCACAGCAAGCTGAGGTAGACTTGGTGACTAATCTGTAGGGCCATGTAATTGATAGCTATATACAGTATTTAAACACCGACCTCGAACACTTGACGGAAATTCAATCTGGAAGTTGCGGAAGACCGGTAACTCAAATGCATGCATGATGCGGAATTTGTCTTGTATTTATAGTTTAGGTATATTGAAGCCCGCTGTACGGGAGTTTTAACAGAACAGTTTGCCCCAGGGACGGGGGAATTAATGTTTTTTAACACTTGTCAGTGTTAAATTCCCCGCTATGTCGATCCCGGGGGTGGGGGGGCCGTGATTTCAAATGACTAAAGCATAAGCATGCATAGTTGGAGGGGTGTAGGCCAAAAATTTCCGAATGACGAAAGAAATTTCCGAATATTTCATGGCATACGAAGCCACGAAGGTGTTCGCTATCCGGAAAATGAAGACACAATTTACATGCAAAAATACTCATATTTTACGCACAGACATATTACAGAAGCGTGCAGTTCCGTAGGAAGTTCTTTTTAATAAGGGGGTGGCGAGGGCCGAAGGCCCGAGGAAATTTTTAAATTTAGAGTCTCTGAAATGCCATTTCGTGGACTTTGGGGGACGTTTTTGACAGAATTCTGACGGTCAGAAAACAGAGTGTTATCACGTCGAAATTTACTTTAATTTGCTTACAATTTAAAAGAACTAAATGGGCGAAGGCGTATATGGGTAAAATGATTCTTTGCGGTTTGTCATGGGTAATGCAGCCGCTTAAAATTAATCAATTATCAGTATTTTAAAGATATATTGAGGGCTGCCGCCTCCCCCCCCCCTCCCCCGTTGCTACGGCCCTGGGAAGTAATAAACCAAAAAACATCTACCGATCTACGATTTGTTGAATGTTATCCATGTAAATGCCGTGATTTTGTAAATCAGTTTATGATACTGACAATACAATTTTATAATATTTTCTCTGTTTAATTAAACAACTAAAATTTTGTTATACTGTTACTGCCGTAATTTTCCGAATGACCAACCTGATTTTCCGAATATGTTAATTCTAAAAAAGTTGGGGGGGTAACCCCCCCCCCAAAAAAAAAACCACCCTTCGTTACGGCCCTGGCCACAGCTGCAAACGCTCCATCCCCAAACGAACATATGACGTTTCTCGTGGAAAAAATCGATATATGAGGCTTCTCTTAGGCCTGTTTTATACGTCGAACTTCGGTCGCGTCGAATGCAATTCAAACAATAGATAATGAAGCTTAATGAAGTGTATCATCTCATTATCTATTGTCTTAAGCCTGGTTCACATATGCCTGCGATATGCCGGCGACGTCATTGTTTGCAGCTGTTGATGCATACATTCTTTTGTGAATTATTTGGTTGAGCTGCTAAAGACAATAGCCCGCCGACACACCGCAGGCATATGTGAACCAGGCTTTACTTGCATTCGACGCGACCAAAATTCGACGTATAAAATGGGCCTTATACTGTATATAGGGCCTTGCTTTTGTCTCGCAATTAAAGACCGTTCATATTAACTTACAGAATAATGATTAGGCAAACATTTGCGGCTATTAGTAAAACACGGAGCACGGAGCACACGGAGCACACGGAGCACACGGAGCACACGGAGCACGGAGCACACGGAGTACGGAGCACACGGAGCACGGAGCACGGAGCACACAAAGTACGGAGCAGTAGAAAAACGAAAATACTTTATAATAAAATACACTGTTTACTATTACAAATTTTTGTTATTATTAATAAAGAGTTTTCGCGAATTTACACGTTGGGGAAGTAGGAAAATGGGGCTTTTACTGAAAAACACATATGATGCAAAACTGCCAAAAGCCATAGCATTTAAAATGGGATTGTGAAACTCATTATCTTACATCCATCAAGCTTATGTAGTTATATTATATTCCGATTGGGCAACACATAAAGAAACACTTACTGTAGAGAACAGCCGATATATTTCGTTACCCCTGCTCAAAAATAGCCAAGTACTCATCTTTCAATGTAGCCGGGATCGACTGAACATTAAAGCTTGTCATGGAGAGAAGTGAATTTTCGGTTTATCCTTCGGCCCAGTGACCGGTGGCAGTGAGCTGTACGGCCGGCTAAGTTTAAACCGTTATAATATACAGTACATCATTACTGCTTTCATTCTTTCAATTCGTTTTGAATATTCGGAATCATTCACAATATTATAAAACTGTATAAGATAGCTGTAGAACTATAAATGCTGTAGAATGAAATAAATAAAGAAAAGTAAGTTTTCAAATCGCGGTATTTGCCGATATCGGTAATCGCTACAGAAAAACAGAACAAATTACAGTATTAAAATCACAACAAACCGCGGAAGTGGGACAATTTTTGTATTTTTACTGTAAGACATGTAGAACATGTACGAAATCCATACAGAAGTGTGTGTGTATTCTATACTTTTGAAACAACTAAATCAGACTTCGGAAAATTTGACCGTATTAAAGCTGCTTTTGGGAATTTAGATTTTTAGGTCTTCGTTTTTATACATGTACCCAGACCAGTAAATATTTTTGGGTTTTGAATTTTGTGTATAAATCAACACCAACGCCTCAAAGGCGAAAAGGAGGGCAAGATTGTTAGAATTGCTATTGTAAACATGAGCAGTTTCGAGAATAAACATAAAATTGAAACGAGTAATTTTTACACATCTGATTGACTAAATTCAGGAAGCCATTTAAGTGTACGCGTATTTGTTACAATTCCGATCAATCATTTAAGTGTACGCGTATTTGTTACAATTCCGAGCCAGAGTAAGTTGTAAACAAATTGTAAGCTTGTGAGAATCAAAGTTGAAAACTCAAAAATATTTACTGGGTACATGTAAAACAAAGACCTAAAATCTAAATTCTCAAAAGTAGCTTTAATACTGTCAAATTTTCCGAAGTCTGATTTAGTTGTTTCAAAAGTATAGAATACACACACACTTCTGTATGGAGTCGTACATGTTCTGCATGTCTTACAGTAAAAATACAAAAATTGTCCCACTTCCGCGGTTTGTTGTGATTTTAATACTGTAATTTGTTCTGTTTTTCTGTAGCGATTACCGATTTATCGGCAAATACCGCGATTTGAAAACTTACTTTTCTTTATTTATTTCATTCTACGGCATTTATAGTTCTACAGCCATCTTATACAGTTTTATAATATTGTGAATGATTCCGAATATTCAAAACGAATTGAAAGAATGAAAGCAGTAATGATGTACTGTATATTATAACGGTTTAAACTTAGCCGGCCGTACAGCTCACTGCCACCGGTCACTGGGCCGAAGGATAAACCGAAAATTCACTTCTCTCCATGACAAGCTTTAATGTTCAGTCGATCCCGGCTACATTGAAAGATGAGTACTTGGCTATTTTTGAGCAGGGGTAACGAAATATATCGGCTGTTCTCTACAGTAAGTGTTTCTTTATGTGTTGCCCAATCGGAATATAATATAACTACATAAGCTTGATGGATGTAAGATAATGAGTTTCACAATCCCATTTTAAATGCTATGGCTTTTGGCAGTTTTGCATCATATGTGTTTTTCAGTAAAAGCCCCATTTTCCTACTTCCCCAACGTGTAAATTCGCGAAAACTCTTTATTAATAATAACAAAAATTTGTAATAGTAAACAGTGTATTTTATTATAAAGTATTTTCGTTTTTCTACTGCTCCGTACTTTGTGTGCTCCGTGCTCCGTGCTCCGTGTGCTCCGTGTGCTCCGTGCTCCGTGTGCTCCGTGTGCTCCGTGCTCCGTGCTCCGTGCTCCGTGTTTTACTAATAGCCAACATTTGGATACACTTCTCTCTCCTCCGCAGAGGCTTTAGTTTTCTTAGGATGAGTATTATACGGAGCCCCGGAGGGGCCATCAATAAAAAACACAAACTTTTTTGTAAAAAAAAAACACAAACATTTTTTTTGAAAAAAA